GAGAGGTACATGAGAGGAGGAAAAGGAATGGGGAAGATTGGGTGAGGAAGGGGTGGGGGTTATGAGACATATAGGGAGAGAGAGAGAGAGATAGAAAGGTAGATAGATATATATATACATAAATAGGTAGATAGATTGATAAATAAATCAATAAATATATTGATAGACAAATAGATAGGCAGATAGAGGGGGATAGGGAGGGGGAGACTGAAAATGAGAGAGAGAGAGAGAGAGAGAGAGAGAGAGAGAGAGAGAGAGAGAGAGAGAGAGAGAGAGAGAGAGAGAGAGAGAGAGAGACCTAGGCAGACAGATATATATATATAGAGAGAGAGAGAGAGTGAGAGAAGGACAGACAAACAGACACGAAAGACCAGGTCCCAGTCCCTCTCACGCAGAAACACTCCCATGCCACCACACGGGTGACGAGTGACTGAATGTCTCAACGCTCATCTTAACAAAGGCGAAAATGCAATGAAACGGGGAGAGAAATGGCAGAAAGTGACCACCCACGCAGAGAGAAGTTAGAAAGAGAGAGGGTGATGCTGCATCCCTGGACAAAGAGAGAAGGTGGGGGGTGATGGTGATGGTGGGGGGGGGGGGGTGCTGGAGACGAAGTATTAGTGAATCTCTAACAACTTCACTGCGGTTTGTTTACCTGGGGCGTCTTGTTTGTTATCGGTGGTTGGACCCTTAATTAGTGATGGATAAGCTGTAACGTGCGAGGGACGCCATGCCCCGTAATTTTATGAGAACAAGACTGTAAAAAAAAGAAAAGAAAAAAAAGGAAAAGGAAGAAAAAGAGAGAATGGGGAAAAGAGGATTTGGTTTCTCAGCCACCAGGTTTAAGAAATAGATATGTTCATCAGAATCGCAAATGCTTTTGATTTGCATATTTTTTTTATTAGATTATGGTAGAATATAGGAATTCGTTGAGAGAGAAAATAAACTTTAACTAATCTCGATTCTTGATGTTATTCACTCACGTTTTCTCCCGTGTTCGCAGCTGGAAGAGAACTGCAGATGTCGCTTCAAGTTCTGCTGTGAAGTCACCTGCCAGAAGTGTCGAATCAAGAGGAAGATGTCTTACTGCCAGTGAGATCCACGTGATTATAGAATAATTGATGATAGCGTCAAGGGGGGGGGGGGGTTAGACTAAACAAACAAACAAAATATAAAAAAGAACTAAGGTGTTATGAGAGTGTGTAAATATACAGAAGAGGAGAGTGGAGTGTGTTTTTTCTAACTGTACTTATAATCAGTTTACGCTGAAGAGTGTTGGCGAGACAGGAAAGGAATCTATGAAGGGGCGTAAACACTACGTCACTGCACATGTAAAGGGGGTCACCTCGAGGCTCTTGTAACCATACGGACGTCTTTGTGTCTTTGTGTCTCTGCCTGGGAAGCGTGACTCCCTTTGTTGTTACGCTGGTAAACAGTTTGCAAAATGGTGTGTTATATAGACAAAAATCAATTGTATAGATAAAAATCAGTAAGTATGGAAAAAAAAGGAAGGAAGTATTTGATTAACTGTTGAGTGCTTCGCTGAGAAGGAATACTCCGGTGCATTTCTTGTCGTGGTGTAAAAAAAAAATCAAAATTTCGAATGCGTTTTGTTGTCAAAGACGCTGCGTTGTCTGACACTCTGTTGCTCTTTACTCCAACTAGTAGCACCTTAACACTTTTAAAAGCTGCTTTGTATAGACCAACTCTGTAATCATCAGGTTTTTTATTTATGATACCAAGCAGCAAGTACGCTGCTCTCTTCGCCGAGTCGTCTCAACTTGACGTTTAAAAGCGAGGCATTCTGTTTGACTTTTGCGTAGAAAACGTTTGACTTCTGTAAACGATGATGTCAGTATTGTCTCCCCACAGAAAACAGAATGTGTAGATAATCTAAGAACTACGGCCAGGGAGCTAAGTTGATTTGTCACTGGAGAGTCGGTGTTTCCTGAATTTCAAAACGTCAGCATAAACTGTTTCATTGTCCACACTAAACTCTGGGGTTCAACAAAAGGAACCAAAATTTAACAGTGTAACATTGTTAGGCTCTCGTAAACGGGAGCTCAGCAAATCGTTTTTTGGCTTGCTAACTCGAATGGCAGTGTTGATGCAGCTGTAGTACTCGATGTTCCTGTTAGTCCATGGTTGCATTTTCTCCACGGATATTGCAAATTAAAAAAAGAGCGTTTCGCAGTGCCTTAATTCCTTTTTTTTCTTGAATTGGGCAAAGCAACTGATAATGCAAGTGCTGGCGTTGATGCGCAGGGTGCCTTAGTCCAGCGTCGCAGCGGCTGTTTTTTTGGAAAGGGACTTTGTGGAGTAACATTTTGCCCGCTATGTTGACTGTTATAAATGCTCAGTGTGCCTAGTCGCCTCTCATGCTGGAATGTCAGCAGCTTTTCCGATTTGAGTTTTGTGATGAGATATGGTTATTTTCTGAGAAACTCGCAGAGATATTTGATGATTAATGATTTCCTGTATAAAGATTATTATTAATTAA